TTAGATTGTATAGTATTATCTTTTATATACGTGAAGCTTTCAGCTCAATTTAGAGTTTGCAACATAATGTGACATTTTTCTGTAAGCTGGCTTCTTTGTGATGTATTTCCTTTTAATAGATTGCTTGCCTTACCACCACTCCAAATACACAGTTGAGTCTTCAGTCTCAGAAAAATAGTACAGGAAATCTAAGCTGAGAATCTTTTTTTATCTTAGTTTGGAAATACGTTTCATATTTTTAAAGTGATATATTTATAAGCAGCATGGGAAAGGTATTAGTATTTTTTAGACATTAATTCTTATAAATTAGAAGTACTTGGTGGCCAGAAATTAAGATCCTTTTGTTAAAGGAAGAACTTCAAATCCAAAGTTGGACCGGAAATTAGATTGAGAAGAACAATAATACAGCTTCACCAATAGGCTGCAGAACCTTGTCTTTCCAGGCCTGCTCCTCAGCACTGCAGAGAGCTGCTGCCCTCTGAGGGCAGCTCCTGGACTGGAAAGATGCTAACAGCACCAGCTCACTTAAAGGTTGGAGTGTTACTACCCTTTATAGGACTTTGAGAACATTGCCTGTTGTGATTAAAAATATGCCTATCTCAGAACGTTAGGAACTTACTAAATGCAAGAAGGAAAGCCCTTGCTAATGCTACTGCTTCATTTTCTTTCTCCTAACTTCTGTTAGCAAACATGGTAAAGACTAGAAAAGTTTTTAAACAAAAGTTACTAAAGCCATTCTCATTTTCTCTACCCCTTTGAATGTAGGAATGACCAGGTTGCAATTGTACATCCCCACCCTTATGTTCCGTAAGCATTACCCTTTTCTAGACAGTCTGAAAATAATTCTGTTGATGAGTATCTTTAAGCCAGAACTATGGGTATGAGGTGACCAGCAGCTGTGGAGAACTTCCTTGTTCAGGTCGTTGAAAATTTCATCCCTAAAACTGGAATTTTCAAGCTCATTATGCACCACTATATATGGAGTGTATTCATACCATGAAGAGTCACTTTTTGCAGTGTACTTTTTATAAGGCCATCCTTAAATACACACTCAGAAAAGAATGAGCTAATCTTTCAAAGGCTCAAATCTCACCAAAAAAAAAAAAAAAGAAAAAAGTCAAATGAACGTGAATGTAAGGCTTAGTCTGCGAAATAAGATTCCTTATCATACTTAAGCAAATGTCTCAAAAAACTTGTATTTCCTTAAATACTAGCTAAGATTCAGAAGTTTTGTACCTTGATAATATTTCTGATGAGATTCCTTTCCCTAGGGTGTGGAAGAGAAGAAAACACTTTATTGGGTTCTCTTCTTTCCTTTACCCCCTCTTCTGTGGTGGTGTGGGCCTAAACTGTATCCTAAGTACCTGAGTCAGAAATGGGAATCCCAAGGCCTTCTGAAAAGGTAGGTGAAGCATTCAGAGTGCTGTTTGGGTATCAGTTCTCAGATCTCTTTTAACATCATTGTTTTAGGTTATTGTTGGGCTGAGTATTATCTGCAGTCTTCTTCATCCTTCTTAGATCTGATTTACCTTTTGTCCAATCCATATGAACTTTTTTTTGTTGTTTTTTTTTTAGTACAAGTAGTTTTCTGATCCCAGGTTTGGTACATATGTTATCACCTTGTGAATAAATAATGAGTGACCTGCTGAACAATTACAGTTGTAGAATTATGTTGTATGTAATGTACATATGGAGAAAATATTTTGTTCATTTTCTTAATAAAAAATTATATATAGACACTGAAATGTCTTGTGTTTGCTGAAACTACTTTGAAATCAGCTTTTTTGGGTGTTTATGCACTTTATATTTCTTTCTCAAAAGGTCAGTTTTATTCGTGTCCCCAGATGTTTTCTTTTGAGACAGTGCTCAAGGAAGTACTAGTGGATCTGAGTTCCTAGGGGAAGATGAATAACTGCTATTAACAACCACCCTTATTTTCTGTTTTGTGAAGTTGGACTTGTCACCCAGGTTCTCTTTAAGGGGTACATATTTGTATCAGGAACTAGAGGAGAGCACTGTACTGAAATAGAAAGTCAAAGAAAATACAAGGAGAGAATGTGAAACATTGACACATTTGCAGGAATTCTGGGTCCCTGTCCTTAGTGAAGAAAAAATTTAAGGGCCTGACCATAAAAACAAGGGAAGCATGCCAGATAAAGGCAGTGAGTGAGAGGGTTGTGTGCACTGTCTAGGTGGACATGAAGATCATTCAGCCCTTTCATCCCCTCATCTGCTTCCCTTGCTCTGAGCTTTGTGATCCTGCATTCTGGGGTGACTTGTCAGTTCTGTATTCAAAACAGGGTCTAGGTTTCTTTAATTGACAAACCAAATAGCTCATATCTTACTGCATAGTTTTCATTTCTAAAGGGCACTTGGAAAACTTTCATTTCTATGGGCCGGGTGTACAGCTCACAGGCACAGTGCTTGCCGGGCAAGCACGAGGTCATGAGTTTGATTCCCGGTACCAAAAAAAAAAGTTTTATTTCTGAGCTTTGAGTATGGCTCAGAAAGTGACATTTCTTTGTGTTCTCAAAACAGGAAAACAAATATGAGGTTTGGTGATAAGGAATTGGCCTTTCCTTGGTTAATCCTCTAGAGAATTAAAGAGATCAAAACATGGAACACCACTTTGATGTATTTGACATATTTGTCATTATCTTCTGGCCAGAAGACAGCAGTAAGCAAAAAATGATTGGTAGAAATACCAGTTGCTCACTGGAGTGAACATGGAGACCAGCAAAGATTAAAGTTGCTACTTTATTGTGCCCAAGTTCACAATTTCTAAATGATAGCCAGAGTTCACAGAAATTGGAAAACAGTACTCTCCCTGGAGAGAAGGCAACATTTTTGACCACTAACGCTTCAGATTCTATAAATCTGTGACTGGTAAGACCACCGGGTGGCTCTCTGGAGACCTGTGCTGGTTCTGTACAAGTTTAGATACTAGGAGATGATGTTTGCTCTTCTGTTACCACATACCGTGCTGCATTTTCCTTTGCCTGCTAGGTGTCTTGGAAGAAGACAGTCAAGATTCTTTGTGATACAGAGAAGGGGACCACAGTGCATGATGCTTAGAGTTATCCAACTACTTCAGATTTGCAGCTTCTCTGGTAATAGAAGAGACTGTCATCCTGCTCGGCAGTTTGTTATCCTTGCCGGAGACATTATCATGATAAGGAAGAGAGGAAAAACTTGGCTGAAAGTGGCCTGTTCAGTGCTGTGCTAAGGTTTGATGGCTATCAAACCCCAAAAGGGGAGGTGAGGACACTTGGCAGTGTATGTAGACTGCAGTGTACATGGTGTACAGCTGCCCTCTGAACTTGCACACACAGCTAGGTATCCTGTTTTGTCTGTATACTCAACAACTGTGTAGCATTGGGCATTTCAGCTCTGCAAGTAAATGTTGGCAACAGGCCCTGTGTGCTAATCTACAAAATGCAAGATTTTTGAAAAATGTGATCTCAGTATTTATCACTCATGATCACTTAGTGTAGCCAGTCCTATTTTTTTTTCCCCTTCACTGTCTAGAAGTAGCAAATGATTTGGGAGGGAATGTAAAAAGTGGGTAGGTTTCAAATGACAAAAAAGGCACAACATTTAAAATAACAACCAAAAGCATCTCTAGCTTAGGGGAAAGTACAGGTCCGTGACCTACACAGGAAGAGAATAATTTGTGGGCCAAGATAAATTGTGGGTCATTTTTAGAATAGTGTGCCAGGGTCCTGCAAGAGTTCCTAGCATGATGTCAGGCATGGTGGTGCACGCCTGTAATCCCAGCACTTGGGAGCCTGAGGCAGGAGGATCATTGGGAGTTCAAGACCAGCCTGGGCTGCAGAGTGAGATCCTCTCTCAAAAAGACCCCCCCGCCGCCAAATAAGTTTCTAGCATGTGGACTCCTTTCTGCATTCCTGGTACACTTGTGAAGTTAATCTTAAAATACTCAGGCCCAATTCTGACCTACCCTTCACCGTGTTAGCTGCCTTTTAGAATTCCCAGATGAAATGAAAATCATATGGTACTAGTCATTCCATCCCAGAAATGAATTTTATGGTTGGATCTTAAGCATGATTGTACAGAAAAGGATGTAGGACTGCACAGAGAAAAGATGGAGGCAACGTCTAAGACTACCATTAAATGGCTGCATAAGTGCAGAGATGGCACTTAGTTTCCTTTGTAGGGTGGTAACATCATCCTGTAAACGGTGTGAATATGTTTTGTAAACTGTAAGGTGGGGGAAAATAGAAGAGACTTGTTTACCAACCAACAGTATGGAGCCAGATCTCGAAGACAGTTGTTTCCCTCCCTCCTACAAGCTAGGAAGAATGGAGTTAACATGCAGCTATAAATATTACCATCCCAGGACATGAAAAAGATCAAATCATCTCTAAGCTGACCCTACAGTATGTACAAAAGGCAGCAGAAAGCCTCTGGTGACAGGTAAATAGATCCTTTCATGGGCAGAAATGTCCAGGACAGAGCATTTCTGGTTTTATATTTTTATGTCTTGGCCAGTGTTTTTATATGTGCTCAGGGCTCAGCAGCCCCTATGGGATCTCTGGTGGTGGTGACTCACAAATGTGTCAGAACCAGAAGGAGAGGGGAGGAAGAGTGAAACATTTATAAAACAGCATCTTGGGGAGAAAAGAGGTCCTTATAATTCCCTAGGGCAGTGATCGCAAACCTGTTGGAGCTTTCAGTGATTATGGCCAGCTGCGGTACACGTGCCATATGTTCACCACCGCTGCAGGCCTCGGGCATCCTGGGGTAATGTGGAGAACTGTCAGCACTTGCAGAGCCCTCCCCACCAAATTCTTTCTTTGGCCTCTCCTCTCCTCCTTATGGCATAGGTCAGCAGCTCTTACTGCTAAGAGCACAGTATGCCTCACACGTGGAGCTGGGGGGTGTTGCTGATGTCCTTGGGTACTTAGCGGAGATTGCACAGGTGAAGAATTAAAGCCAGAAGAATTTGAGCTATTCGGAGCAAATTACTAGGGCTTGAACCAGTTTACACAATAGCATTTTAATTGATAGTATACAATTTTCCAAAATATATTTTTGTAAGAAAATGCAATAATTATAGTCTTTACAAGTTTCTCAATAAGTTCCAGTGTACTTCAGACTCCTGTCCACTAAGACACATGCTTCCCCCAGTCTCCTGGGCAAACTGTATCATTCACTAACACCCCACCACCAGGACCATTAAATAGTAATCCTTTCCTTTCACCTGGTGCTAACTATTCAGCAGACCTGAAGGAATCTGCTAGTAACAATGAAAACAGGTAGGCTAGGTTTATTCTTGACCTCTGCCTTCTCCTATCTTGTTCCCTTTGATCCTTATTCTGCTAGAAGTTCCAGAAGCAAAAGCTTGTTCAAAACTATTTCCTGGTAGAAAAGACATACTAATTTACATCTTAGACCTAAATGACATAGTGGAAGTGTAAAAGACCAAGGGGATCCCTGCTTCTGTCTTGTAGTCCTCCCTGGCCTGGCTGGTGTAACTCTTGGGAAAGAATGGCCTCTTCTGTGTTATCCTGGTGCCTGTGGTGACAGGGTTCTTGGATCCTCTCGGGGCCCACAGTATGGGACAGTTGGTGGGCCCAGGCTTTAATCCTGTTTGTCACTGACCATGTCATTTTAGCCAAATCACTTTACCTTTGTGGGCTTCAAGTTCTTTTCCTGTAGAAAAAGATTAGACCAGATCTCTACATCGGTCTCACTTTCCAGCCAGTGCTCACCAAGCCTGGCCTTCCCCGGTATGGGACTGGAACCTGGCTGGGGAGAAGCAAGGATAACTTGAAAATAAAAATGCTTAATGTGCAAGACAAACACTTTGTCATCAGCCTGTCTTCTTGTATTCCATTTTTTAAAACAAAATCAAAAACTTTCTAGTAAGACAGACATTTACATTCTTATGCAGCGGGGAAAAAACAACTTTCTTAACTAATAAATGTTTTTTCAAAGTATATTCACTTAAAGCGGTGCACAATAGATTAACATGTGGCTGTTGTATTTACATTGTCAAAACATATATATCAGTTTGAATTTGTTCTTCAAAGTTTCTCCAGTCTATTGTCAAAGAAACAATAAAAAAGATAAATCTCAAGAAGTAGTTTAAATAAACCTGCTCATTTTCCTCATCAAGAAAGGGTAAATCTGGTGTGTCTAGATTAACCCTTGTTGCTTTAAGATGCGTGCTCTGTACTTCCGTAAGCACAATGGCTTCTTTCCCCACTCACGTGACAGCTCAAACTGGGTTTCATCCAATCAAAGTCATCAGACCCATGGTTTTTGTAGCTTTGGGATCATCAGGTTCACAGTTTCTACAGCTTGGGGAAACCATAGTTTGCCACTAAAACAAAGAGCTTCTAGCTTCTCTTTGATACAACTAGTTTAAAGTCTTGCCGAGCTGAGCCCCTGGTACTCTTCACTCTTCTTGGCCCCACGATCAGAATTATCATATAGCGTAGAGAACCCAGTAAAGACACGGGAAAAGATGATTTACAGGTGCTGCCAGTGTGGCCGATTGACACAGATGTTCCCACAGCAACAGCAAGCCAAGGCCCTGTATCATATTTTGAAGCTGCACTAAAGGCAGCACAACTTGGATGCAGAGAAAGAAGGAACTGCTGGATCAGCTCAAAGCCTCCCCAGCTTCTCCTGGACAGAACCGTGGTGATTCCTCCTATCATTTCTCCTCTCTGGTGCCTGCAGTCAGCATCTCTATCAGAGGGCCCCTGGGGTTGCAGTGTCTGATCATTTTGCAGAAGCAATATTTGCAATCACTGTCAAATGCCCTAGTCGGTCAATGTGACCCAGAATCTGCACAGGAGCAATACCCTAGCCTTTTATAGAGATACCATGACAAACCCATTGGGTAGACAACCCAGTGGTGGGCAGAAAAGCAAGCAGACCTCTTTCCAGAATAAAAATATTTGCTGTATTTCCCCTTAGCCTGCCACTGTTCTCTATCCTGCTCCAACCCCAAATGCTGGAGAAACAGGGCAGATGTTTGTCTACTGAGCATCTAAATCTTGAGAACTCGCTGGGGCACTCCTTGATTTTGACTGTCCTTTTCCCCTATGGTATCAAAAAGCTGCAGACTATAAAGACAGAATCAGGCAGCCAGGGAGGGCCAAAGGCCTTCCCCCAGCTCCCACTACCTTTTCTTTTGTTAAATAAGTTGCACCAAAGCAGACAGTTGCTTCCAGGAATTTATGCCCAGGAACAGTACAGACCATGGCTAACAGTTCAAACTTGCATGCATGATCCCCTCGTCTTAGAATTCTGAAGGATTTGAACCTTCATATGAACCTTCAATATGCCCTCAGGAACCTTCTATAGGTAACTAACTTCTGAGCCTATAAAAACCATATTGGGGAATAGACATGGCTTTGTGTTTCCCTGAGATGCCACCATAAACAGGAGAACTGGTAAGGTCCCACCAGGGATACAGAGAAGAACCAACATGGCCCAGCTCCACACAGGACAGTAGGAAACTAGGGACTTTAAAATTCACTCATGTTCTTGGCTATTCTCAGTGGCACAGGAGAATCAGAATCAGTGAGACTGATTGAAAGCCTTCAGTAGTTTGAGCTTTGACCTTTGGCAGTGGAGGACTAGATTAGAAAACAACAAACCCAAACAGGTACAACAAAACTCAGCAACTTGCAAAGTCCCTGAGTTTCCTATGAAACAGAGAGTAACACCTGTCTTCCAGCAGTTTCATCTGATTGTCTACTGAAACACATCTCTGCCAATCAGGGGCCGTGGGGCATGACTGTCCTGTGACACCGGGGCTTCAGGGGCCCCTCCCATCAGCTAGCAGTGAACAGGAGATACATTTCTGTTGCAACTGCAGATTTCTGTCCCTGGTGGGAGCAGAAGGTCAAAGATCTTGGGGGGCATCTTCAATGAGAGGCTTTGGGGGAAGGGCCAGTGTGAGTACTGAGCCCAAATCAGCTGCCATGGGGAGGCCATCCTGGGACGAGACGCTCCCCTTCTCTCCCAACCCACCTACCAATCCCTTCTGTAGATCTCATTCACTCTGGGGGAAGAGGAGGTCCTGAGCTCATCAAGCAAGAAGATCAGAATCCAGAACAAGGGGTTCCAGATCATGAATGACCTGTGTTATTCCCAGGGGCACTGGGTCAGAGTGGTACTGAAAACTGACTGAAAGCTTTGGAAAGGAAAGGGGAGGGGCATTCTGGCAGACAGGATTGGGGTAGGAGATGGGAGCTTGGGACTTGTCCTTTTGCGCAGTCAGATCCCCCGAGAGAAGGGTACAAGTCTGCTTTCCTTTCTAGCCCGCCCTACCCTGTAGTGTCATCCCTGCCCAGCCAGGGAAGCTCTGAGGAGAGGGTACAAGTGGACACAGCAGTGTGGCATGGTCCAAACGAGCAATGGGCTGAAGGGAGGAATCTGGCACCAAGTGGCAATGGGACCTTGTGCAGCCAATGAGGCCTCAGTCATCTCACCTGCAAAATGAAAGTTTTACTAAAAGATCTCTAAAGTCCCTTCCATGGCTCTTTATCTCCCTTCTGCTCATCCTTCTGCTCACCAGCAGCTCTGAGCTCAGGCACTAGTGGGTTATTTCACAAGAAGTATCTAAACAGAATGTGATTTGTTCATCTCGAAAAGGGAAAAAAATTAAGGCCCTGGGGGAGTTGAGAGAAGGTAACCCTTGGAGTCCACTCCCTCCCCAGTCTTTCCCTCCTTGAATGGGGAGGCATTTTCTTCCCCAGCCCAAATGGCACTTCAGGTGGTCAGTCTGCAGCTTTGTGGCGCTGATGGAGGTGGCGGACAGACTGGATTAGAGGTGTGTGTCTTCCTCCTCATCAAGGTCATCCTTACACAGGTTGTCCAGAGGGACGATCCAGCTGTCCCCAAGCTCCCCATTAAGGCTGACCACCTTCTTCTCCTGCATCTCGGAAGAGGTCTCCATCACTTCCAGGGTTGGGTTGTCATGGTAACCATTTTCCACTGTCTGCAGCTCCTCAGTAAGTCGTTGCTAGATTGAGGAAGATGACCAAGGGAAAAGTAATGTGGAGGGTTGTGAGCCTTAAAGTCTAAATATAACACAAAAGTCTTAATATAAAATATGTAGCCCCCCCTTTCAACCCAGGGGCCCCAATTTATCTACAGCAAGCACCTATTGTTCAGATGTGGGGGTTGGCTGCTCCTGGAAGCCACTGGCCACTGGCCCGCCTACCTCACACAATGACTTGCCCCCTCATCCTAAAATTCCCAACTGGTCTTGCATTTACCCAAAAGGTGAATCTGTGCCATCTGTGAAGATGGACTTTGTTCTCATAAGTCCTCTCAGCCCTTTCTTTTCTCTTCCATTCCTTTCCTAAAGCCTTTACAGGCTCCTACCTCACTCCATAGTATGGGAATGGGCAAGACCTATGAGAAAATGACATCATTCAGGTTGGGTCCTGCAGGACCTCTCCAAGCCTGGGCAAGGTAAGAATGGCAGTCCCCATGGCTGTCGCTGCTGGAGGCGGCACCCATCGGACAGTGAGTGCTACATTCTCTGAGGTTCAACCTTTGCTTGCATGTTAGGATCACCTGGGGGGCTTTTAACACATACACTGATCCAGAGATCGGGTTCCCGTTGGCGTGCGAGGAAGCTAGGCATGGAAATGTTCTTACAGCTCCTGCTAGTGTGCAGCCAGGGTTGAGAACCAGGGATCTGGGTGGAACTGTCAAGATGGGAGGTCTAGTAAGGTAGGCGAAAGGTTTCAATTAGACAGGCACACACAGGGCCGTTTATATCCAGGGTTGTCCAGGAAAGCTCTGCAAAGTGGCCATTATCCCCCTTCTGCAGGTAAGAAGCTCAGAGATTTATGACAGACTCAAGGTCACACAGAACAAAGGCAGAGCCAGGGTTGAAGCGCTGAGTTTCTGCTCCAAAAGTCCTGTTCTTCCCTCTCGAAATATATCTTCTTCGGTGACCCAGGCAGCAGGTCGCTGCCAAAAAGGGGGTGTTGGTGGTCTGGATCAAAAATGTCCCCAAAATGCTCATGTGTTCACAGGTGGGGCTTCTGGAAGGGCACTAACTTAATCAGTGGGTTAACCCACTTTGAGCTCAGAGCTGAATGGACTGCCAGGAGATGCGCTTGGCTGGAGGCAATAGGTCCTGGAGCATGCCTCCAAAGGGGGTGTCTCTCTATGGCTCTTCCTTGCTCTCTGGCTTCCAGGCTGCCATGAGTTGAGCAGCTTTGCTCCACTACACCCTTCTACCATGCTGTTTCTGCTTTGGAGCCAGCCAACCATGGGCTAAAACCTCTGAAACCTGAGCCAAACTACTAAACCTCTCCTTTAAGTTGTGCATGGCAAGTACTTTCGTGGAAAAGCGATGAGCTGGTTCTGCCCGCCCAAAAGGCCCCAGTCCACCCGTCTTCCCCTGCTGCACCGTGGACTGACAGAATGACGGCTGCCCCAGCTGGAGCAGGGAGAGCCCACCTGATCCTTCCTCTGAGAGAAGCGCTGGTGGCAGCAGCCGTAGAGAGCTGCAACAAGAAGCAAGAAGGATGCCATGCAGACAATGGTGATGATGAGGGGCATGCTGTAGCGGTCCTCGGTAGGTTCTGGTGGCCCATTGTTGCCCAGCCTCATGTCACTCACTCCCAGCTGGCCAGAAAAGAGAAGTTAGATGGTGAAAATGCAGGCCGGTTCCCACCCCACAAGCTCCCCTTCATTTGTGAGCTATCCTACACGGGGTCTGTTGCCACCACCCCGCTCCTGGGGGCCCAAGGATTCTTCCATATTGAGGGTACAATGGGCTTGCAGCAGAGGCCCCTGACCCGCCCCTCCCAGCACACAGGGGGCCCATTTACCTCTTGTAGTTCATCCCATTGGTCCTTCAGGGATTTATACACATCCGTGGGAAGAAGGTTTGCTGTGGGAAAGAGGGGGAGCTGCACCTCTGGAGCCTGGCTCCGAGTGACAGCAGGTTGGAGGCGGGCCCCAGGAGGATGTACTGTACAGTTCACCACCTCTTGGGTGGCCCTGGGGACGCACATGGCTTGACCCTGCTGAGGGACCTGGGGTGGCTTCACTCGACCCACCCTGCAGTGAGGTGGCGTGCTCTTGCCTACCTCTCCCTACCCACATAAGTGTGGGCCTCCTGCCCCAAACTCACTGTGAATGCTGATGTGTTTGACGGCCACCGCATGGCTATTGGGAACAGGTCCTAGCTTCACAGTGCAATTATCTTGACCAGGGTTGAAGTTGTCTTTGACTGCTCGGCACAGCACTGTGACCAGCTTCTCGTTCAGGAGCCCCGTATTCTAGTGCGAAGAGAACACAGATGATTCCCGAGGAGTCGTGCCAGCAGCCCGGGCTTAGGAAGCTCCCGTGGTCACTTCCCCTCTCCATACTCTGCATGTGCCATGCCCCACCCTGCCAGGAGCCAAGTTCTGTCCTGGGCCAGTGCCGGCTGGTTCTGTCTGCACCTTTCATTCCCTCCCCAAGCCCCTCAGCTTTTAACTTGCCTGTGGTGCACAGTGCCTGTCCCTCTAGCCACTTTCTTCCCGCTAAGCTTGTTGTGGGACAGGAACGGGTGTCCTGTGCTGAGTCAGCACTGCCCTGCACCTCACCAGTGAGGAGGGTGTGGGAGTTAGGGCGATCCAGTGTCTTCTCAAGCTGCACAGTGCAGAGACCTCAGGAGTGGGAGATCACAGCTCCCAGCAGGATGACCCTGTGCCCCTCCCTAGGCTAGGACACTGAGGCTATAATCAGACTGGCAGGGAAGGCAAAGTGCCACTGCACAGAACAAAATGGGGATCCTGAACATGTACGGGAGTTGCTTCCGTACACAGTACAATGAAAAAGTGATGCCAAGGTTCGCATTTTTAAAAAAATTTATTATAGTAAAAGATACATTGCCATTAATCCCACCCCTCCTTCCTTGAACACACTTATCCCATCATTCTTGCCACTTTCTTCAGGTTTTTTTTTTTTTTTTTTTGTCTTTTTGAGACAGAGTCTCGCTATGCAGTTCAGGCTGGCCTTGAGTTCATTCTGTAGCCCAGGCTGGTCTCAAATTCACAACGATCCTCCTGCCTCAGCCTCCCAAGTGCTGGGATTACAGGTGTGCGCCACCATGCCAGGCTCTTGCCGCTTTCTAAAGCAGTTCTAGAAATCTTCATGGATATCTTTTGTTGTGTTGCCTTGCTAACAGCTGCCCCAGAGACCTCAGCTGTTTCAAAATGTTTACTTTTCATGATCATTTTGACTTTGGGAAGAGCCAGAGGTTACATGGTGCCAAAGCCAGTAAATAAAGTGGAAGAAGACACTGTTATGTTTTTAACGGCCTGACTTTTCACTGGTACCACTTGGTAGAAGCATTCACTGTATTTTTGACCACATGTAATAAAAAGACTCATGAAAAGACTTCCTGAACTGCTTCAGAAAGGGACAGAACAAGGGCATAAGTGTGTTTAAAGCAAGCAGGAGTATTGTAAGCGAGAGTAATGACAATATTGTTTTCTACTGTAATAATTCAGAAGAACTAAACCTTCTTAGAAGAACTAAATGGAATATAGTTCACCCCTGCTATATGTAAGCAGGACAAACATGGTGACACGCCGGGGCTTCACCTATGACTTCCTCAGGCTGTGTGACAGTCCACCCTGACAGCGGGAGGAACCCAGTGCTTTCCATCTTTCTTTTCAAGGAAAGAAAAACACTTCTCTCCAACAATACACAGCTTGGCAATTGTAGCCAAAAGACTGTCCCCAAAACCTGACTCCTGGACCACACTACTCCCTTTTAAAACTCTTTTAGGCAGATGTCTGTTTCTGGAAGTTTCATTTGGGAAATAACAGCAAAATGGATGCCCAAGAGAAAACAAGGACAGAAACAGGCAGCAGCATTAAGGTGTTGTGAGTTCTCCAACATACGGAAATCAAATCCTGTTGTTGTAAAACTAAGCACTGGCCAGGAGAGGGCAGCAGCGAACCAGGGACCGCCTGCACTCACCACAGCTCCACGTCTCCTGGCTAAGCTGCGCATCCCAGACTAGGGAGGGTGGAGTGTGGGACAGCTGCAGCGGCTACTGCATACATGCTCTCTCATACAAAGTGTGTGTGTGCACACAGCTCCTTGGGTTCCACTCATTTTCTTTAAAAAGCTCTCATTTTCAAAGAGACTGACTTAGTAAAGTCACACCTAGAGCTGGAGGCAAACAGGAACTAGGATCACCTCAGACCACAGGGAACGCTGAGGAGACCTAGGTCCTCCTTCTGGCCCTACAGTGGTCCTGTTGTTATGACCTGACTTAGGGTCCGAACCTCGGCTGGCTGCTCTGCGAGACTGGAGAGGGTCAGTCCCCACGCACACTCACACCTCAGTTCCTTTCCGGGAGTGCTGCGGTCCCCTTGGCCTCTGTTCACCTGGTGACCTTCGAGGCCCGGTGACCTACAGGGGGCGCTAGTGAGTAGAGTGCGCATGACTCACGCAGTGGTTGCTCCCCAGGTGGGCTTCCGAGCTGGTCCCCTTGCTTGTCAAGTTCAAGACGAGCAGCTCGCCGATCGGCTCCTTGAGAGACTCGCAACGTACCTGGAAGAAGCCACAGCACAGAGGCTCAGGCAAGCTGGAGGGCCTTGGACTCTCCCCTGGGCGGGGGGGGGGGGGGGGGGGGGGGGGGGGGGGGCGCAGCTGCGGCTGCAGCTGGGGTTCCCTGCTTCCGGGGCGTGACACAGAGAGGAAGAATTTGTGGCAAGCTGGGGGTCACGTCTGACCAAATATGTCCTTGGTGACCCAGCTGTCTAAGCAGCTTTGGGGGATAGAGGGGGACAGACAGTGACAAGCAAATGGACAAAATCTCCTCACAGCCCAGGAGAAGACCCGAGGTGGGGGTGGGCACCGAAATGTTTTTCTTTACAACTGGGCTCCTTTGCTCACCCTGCCCATCATGGAATTACCGTCTTATTCCCAAAGCTCCAGCTTTTATCGGGTATGCTGGGGCTTGAAGAAGCCAAAACAGTGCTGAGGCTTGTGGATCCCTGCGCCCCGGGCGTAGTCACAGGTTCTGCTGCAGAGTCCGTGGGCTGTGGTGTCGCAGCAGAAGCGTTTGAAGGGCTGGGAGGCATCAGGCTGCCCGGCACGGGCCTGTCCGGCACCTGGCTGCCCGGCCGCATGCTGGTGGTCTGCTGAGTCCCGGCTGGCACGTTCGTGGGTGCTGTCATGGGGGAAGCAGAGGCTGTGAGAGAGGGGAGGCCCACCCTGCAGAGGCTTCAGAATCCATGCAAGCGGCGCCACCAAGCAGGCTGTGAGGATGAAGGGACAGAACAGGGGCCACTGCCATTTTACAGGATACATCAGACTGGACCAGCTGGACCAAGAACCGAGCCAAAGAAGTCACAACAGTGGCCATGGCCACAGCTAACATTCACCAAGCACTTGCCGTATCAAGGGTACTTTCCTAGAGGAAGGGACCATCATTATCCCCATTTGTTAAACATGGAGACTGAGGCTCGGAGGGACTTAATGATTTGCCTGAGGTCATGTGCCAGTGGGTGGCAGAGGGGGATTTGAACACAAGACTCGTCCACCTCAGAGACCCGGGTCCTCCCTGTAGGACCCGAGCACTGTCTCCCACTGTGGCAGGCTGTGAACTCTTCCAGCATGCTTCCATGTCACCTGAGCTTCTGGAAATGCAGAGTCTCAGGCTCACACCCACAGTTCTGGTTCAGCAGGTCTTGATGTGGGTCGGGATTTTGAGGCTCACGATTCATTGGTAGAATTTGAATTTAACTTACAGGACTAGGAGAAGCACTTTAAAAAATAAGTAAAAGGAAATGGAACAGAAAAAAAAATACCAGAATGTATAACAAACAGTGAGTCCCTAGTTAGTCCCTAGTTTATATGCTTCACTGATGTGTATTATGTGTATTTTTTGGGTTATAACATAACATTCAGGTTTCTGCGCTTCTCACAGTGGATTGCCATCAAACAGGTCTGAGAAGCATTTTTCTAGAACCTTCTAACACCCTGCCTCCATCACTATGATGAAGGGACCCTGTCTCTTAGCCTGTGGCTAAGACTGCTGGCTTGATTACGTGCTCGCCTGGGCAGGACAAAACATGGAATTCTCATCAGAATATGTATACTGCTGGCCTCTGCTCAACCCTGAAATAGGAAACCAGGTCTGAATGATGGTAGAAGATACCAGATGTTTCACTGTCATCTATGCCTTCATTTCTAGCTGATCAGATGCCTGGGGTGGTGGGGGAGCCCTGAAGAGTTTTTTCTTGCTTGGAAAAACAAAAATAAAAACAACCACCAAGGTCTTACTTACTTTGAGTGGTGAGCGTCCTCTGGGTTGTGTGTGTGAGACTAGAATCAGGCGCAGAGCCTGAACTACCGGACGGTATGGCAGGGCCGTCCTGTCCCTGAGGAGAGGTCCCTGAGGGCATGGCAGTAGGACCAGTGGGCAGGCGGCTGACACGGTGGGTGGTTGAGCTTCCTGCACTGGGCAATGAAGGAGCAGAAGGGGATGCTGTGGTCTCCAAGGGTAGACTTTGAGATCCAGAAGCTTTTACTTGGCTTTCTGAAGAGGACACGGACTGTGTGGTGGCTGCGTTGTCATTCTTGTTGCTTGTGCTCTCAGGCCTGGGGGAGGTGGCGGTGGTCGCGGTGGTGGTGGCAGTGGTGGCGGCGGTGGTGGCGGTGGTGGTGGTGGGGTGGGCGGCGCTCCCTGCCTGTGGGCTCACGGTAGTTGGAGCACGTGCGTTGGTGGACAGAGTCCCAGAGGTGCTTTGTTGAGCTGAGTCTTTGGGACCTGCAGAGCTGGTTGCCACGTTATTTGTTAAACTTATGGAAGGTGCTTTGGAGGTAGTGGGAACTGAAGAGGAGTCTGACTGGCTTGTGGATGCAGACGTCACAGATTTTGCAGAAGCCTGTGTTGAGGCGATTGTACTGCCGGGCCGGGCTGTTACTGACAAAGGAGACACAGGGCCAAGTCAGGATATCAGGCGGAGTTTCTCTCCCAGGTTGTTCTTACTCCCATCCCTACATCTGCCTTGCTGAAGGCCTGGGTCCCTCCTGAGCCGAGTTTTCTAGAGTTCCAGACCCTCCGTGAAGGATGCCAAGAGGGACACAGGGGAGGGAAGTTCCACGGAAGGGGAAGGCGAGGCCAGCTGAGCTGGCCACATGGAGTCTGCAGGGGTCCCTGTCCTCTCCCCTGACCCACTTGCAGCCCCTCAAGTCTGTCCACAGCTCCCCGTCTCCACAGTGCCTGGGGAAATGCGCCACAGAGACGCCGCAGGCTGCTGCTTGCTGAGCTGGCCTGGCCCTACTGCAGGAGGAGTGGGTGCCAGGCAGCCTTTCCCAGGGAAGTTACAAGCAGCAAGAGAAACTGTGATTAACTGGGGTCACACAAACGATGGGTCAGTGCCATCATGGGCTGTGCTACTGGGAGAAGGGCGCAGAGTCCCTGGGCTCTGTGCGGCATGGTGCTTCCCCTTGGGGGAGAGGCCGGGGAAGAAAGGACTTACTGGTTTAACAAGATATTTAGTAAGAGCACTTTTGTATGCCAAGGCTCGTGTTGGACCCTGCAGGTGCAATGGTGAAAGACAGAACTAAAAGTCAGGTTTTGGTGACTACAGGGAGAATGTGAGCAAGGAAACGACGCAGAGGGCAGGGGAGGTAGAGGGAAGGAAAGGTGGCCCTGCGATGACTGCTACGCTAAGCCCTGAAGAAGATAAAGCGCATGCCGTAGGGTGGGCAGACAGTCCCCCCACAGAGGGACCAGCACCTGCAAAGGCCCCGAGACAGGAACGGGGACCCGGAGAAGACACGTGTGCCTGGAACATAGCCGGGAAGGGAAAGTGCGGCTCAGAAATGCAAGAAATTCCCGGTAGGGAACCTCTGATTCAAATGAAACATTTTTGAGAGTCACAGAAGGGCTCTCTTCTGTGACTACATGCAGGGCTGGGGATGTAGCTCAGCGGCGCAGTGCCTGCCTGGCAAGGGCAAGGCCCTGAGTTTGACTCCCAGTACCAAAAAAGAAAATAGTAAAGAAAACAAAACAGAACAAAACAAAACAAAACATATGCAACAGCCAAGCCTAGTGGTACACTCCTGTAACCTCAGCACTTGGGAAGCTAAAGCAGGAGGACTGCAAGTTTGAGCCCAGTCTGGGCAACTTAGCAAGACCCTGCCTCAAAATAGAAAATAAAATGTGCAAGGGCTATAGGTCACCACAAAGGTCCTGTGTTCAATCTCTGGTACCACTACAAAAAAAAAAAAAAATTATACCTAAACCAGGCTCAGTGGTATACACCTGTATTCTCAGCACTCAGGGGGTTGAGGCAAGGGGATCACAGATTCAAGCGCAGCCTGGGTATTCGAGTGAGTTCAGTCAGCCTGGACTACATAGCAAGAACCTGTCTCACAAAAACAAAAAACAAAACAAAAATGTATCCTAGGTAAAATAAGACATTAAGTTCAGACACTTAATAAGAATTTTAAATTTTATTCTAGCTGTAAACAGAAATAATCAATGAAGCTCAAGAGGGGAAGTTGTATAGGCTGAGAAACACAAGCTTGCTTGTGGCTTTGGGGTCCCGGGAGATCAGAGGGAGAGAGCCTGCAAGTGGGAAGACAAGCTATGAGCTGTCTCATCAGAAGTCACAGAGATAGGCCAGGCACGGTGGCACACGCCTACAATCCCAGCACTCAGGAGGCTGAGGCAGGAGGACTACCATGAGTTCGAGGCCAGCCTGACTACATAGTGAAACCCTGTCTCAAAAAAAAAAGTCACAGAGATGACTGGGCAATGGCCACCTGTGGGCCGCTATGGATGCTGGGGATGAATGGAGGATGGAGTCAGGACATCAACTGCTTCCTTATGCAGCAAGTGGGGGAAAGAGAGAGTCTAGTGGTTTTGATTCCTGGTTTTCTACCTACAGCAGAAGCGAGGCCATGGTGAGGCAGGATGTTACCACCTCAAGCCACCCTCTGCGGCCGGCCAGCATCTACACACCTCTGTCCGGTAATCTTTCACCCCGTGAGACTGATGGCAGCAGAAAGTGCCCTTATTAGGACGTTGCCCCATGCACTGAGTACTCTCCTTCCAGCTAGGGAGGGAAGAGAAGGTGGATGGTGAGGAGCACAGTAGCAGGGGGTCCTGCTCAAGGCACCCAGAGCCACCAGGCAGGCCCAGCAGTACACAGCTCACCAAGGGACACGCCCCTATTGGTCTCTGCCATGCCAGCTACTCTGTGAGCTGGGCAGTGTCCCAGTGTCTATCACGAAGGTTTTGTTACTAAGAAGTAGAACCATATCAAGCAGTTGTGGGTAGCAGGGCTTCCAGGATTAGTGAGGAGGCCTTGCCGGGGCCAAAGGCAGCCAAAACTCTATTTCGGGGACAGGACTCCACTACCTAGAGTTTGCCAGGTGTCCCCCTGCCCTTTTCTCTGCTGTTTGTTGTCTTGCAGCAGCAAGAAATTGTATTAGGGCTTCACACTAAGATACATCCCCAGCCCGTTTTATTGTTTTATTTTGATGCAAAGTCTCACTAAGTTGCCAAAGCTGGGTTTGAACTCCTGATCCTCCTGCCTCAGCCCCGCAGTGTGCTGGGATGATAGGTGTGCTACCATGCCCAGCTGGACTTTCCCTTCTTGTAGGTCATAAAGTAATGGTGCTTCTCATAATGGAGAGCTGTCTTGTCAAGAGGTATGAGGCTGCTGAGGGAGGTGCGGTATCAGCATGGCTGGGGAATTAGAGAATTCAGGGGATGATGGGTGGGATGGGTACCTGCTACTGTAGTGCCAAGCTGAAGAGGGTTTCTCCCCACTCTGGAATGACTGCCATTTTGGAATGGATTCTTCTCTGTTACAGGAAGTTATCTTAGGCATTATAAGATGTTCAGCAACATCCCCGGCCTCTGTCCACTCTACCCAAGTAACACACACACATAACCCTTGCCGGCTGGGACAACTAAAACTGTGTCCAGCTGTTGCCCAAAGTCCCCTGGGGAAGATGAGCCACTACTCAATGAAAAACTACTGGCTTAAAGAAAGAAAGAGCGGAAAGGCCGGGCATGACGGTGCACATCTGTAACCTCAGCTATTTGGGAGGCTGAGGCAGCAGAATCCAAGTATGAGTCCAGCTTGGGAAACTTTATAAGAGCTGGTGTCAAAATTTTTAAAAAATACAAAGGGCTGAGGATGTTGCTCAGTGGTAGAGTGCCCTTGGATTCAGTCTCCGGTAATGGCGAGAGAGAGAGAGAGAGAGAGAGAGAGAGAGAGAGAGAGAGAGAGAGAGAGAGAGACCCCAAATTCCTAAATCGTCCTATCAAAGTACAGAATGAAAACCAGTCCTTCTAAGACTGCACTAAAGGACTCTCTGGTTCATAGCCGAAGAAAAGCCAAAAGCTATGTCCCACAATTGCCATATTGCAGCGCTGACTCAATGCATAAGAGCACCATGCCCCCCCCTTTTTTTTCTTTCTTTTTTGGTACTGGGAATCGAACTCAGGACCTTGCGCTTGCTAGGCAGGCACTTATGCCACTGAGCTATATCCCCGGCCCGCACGGTGTCTCTTATGCAGAAAGGGGACCCTGAGAATTGGATGGTGACTCGGGATACTGGAGGTAAATGAGACGACACACAAATCCCCAGCTCCAGCGGCATTCGCTTGCCGCAGACCCAACTGCTGTTCTGTCTGATGAGGCCGCGCCGACCTTGCTCAAGGCTCTCAGGAACCTCCCCCGAGTCACTGACGCAGAACCCGAAGCTCGTCAGTATTCCTACCGTTCTTCATCCTCCTCAGTCTGCAACAACAGTCAGATTCCAGGGTGCCCCGGGGGTACAGATACGCAGTCTGACCCAGGAACAGGCGTGTGTGCTAAAAATACTTACAAAATAGCTAGCAAATATGTGTAAGGGCACTAGGTCAAGGAAGGATCATTTCCATATCAGACGGAATTTGCCAATGTGGGAACACACACCGCAAACTTTATGTTCCATGTGCGGGTTCACACAGCTAGGAACATTCTGTTTTTTTTCTTAGTTGGTTGACTACAGGACTGAACTCAGTGGCAGCCTGCATTAAACAGCTGAAGCAATGGCTCCAGCACGAGAGGTTCACGAGCCCGAAGCTCAGTCTCTAATGTAATAGTGTTGAGGGTTGGGAGGAGCTTTTAAGAGGCAGGGGCTGATGGGAGGTGCCTGGCTCTTGAACACCCTTCATGCAGGGATTACTGCTGTTCTGGTGGAGTCGGTTAGGTATCCCAAGAGTGGGTGAGATCCTGTGACAGCGACAGAGAGCTGTTGTCACACAGAGAAGCTGGCCCCTCCCTGTCTTCTTAATTCTCCTCTTGCCACGTGAGCTTTCCCCACCATGTGCTCCTGCCACCCACTACCACCCCGCCTAAAGACCTTCATGGAGAACGAGCACCATGCTGTTTGGTCTTCCTGGCCACCAGAAACATGAGCCGAGTCAACTTTTTTTCTTTATAAAGTAGCCAGCCTCTGGTATTTTGTTACACAACAAAAAATGGACCAGGGGCAGTAGAGTTGCCAAAAATTCCCTGGAATAATGTATAAGAAGAAATCCTAAGTACTGGAGCAAGAGAAATATGAAACATTTATCCTATATGAACCGCTCACTACACTCTAACTTTGCCCCCAAAAAGCTCAAATGTCACTCCCTTCCGAGGCTTTCAAAAATACTGTATTCCATGAGTTCTAGCATTCAAGTATGTCATGTCTCTGAAATGAGGATATAGTGTAAGTGACTACAGGTGACGCTTAGATAGTGGTTTGTTTTTTTCTGAAGTGATTGATAAAACAACAGCACATCCTATAACTGATGGTGTCCTGGATGTGATGACTTCTGGGGTGTTCCTGGGAGCGTGGTTCACACATGGGGAGAGCTCTGCTGTGCCTGGTCCTCACTGGCCACATGTTAGGAGGAAAAGCTGCTGATTT